AATTAATCATTTTTCGAATAAATAGTTCATAGAAAAAGTTAAAGCTGACATATTTCTAAAAGTTGCCAAGGAGAACCAATGTTATAACCCTAATAGATTCTAAGATACAGCCTGGTTAGAAAACTGGAATAGAATGGAGTTAAAATAGTTAATTCTACTTAATCCTGAAAATCCCCTCTTTTTTACCCCACGTATAGAATAGAAATTTGTAAGTTCTATGTATTTTAATTCACTTGAAAAAAAAACGAGATTTCTTTATTTCAGTATTAAAAGATTTTTAAAAGATCTTTTTATTCTGGTTTGGGCATAGAATATATTTAAAGTTACTGCTTCTAAAAGGCATATTCTTAAAAAAATTATAAATGTATTTCCTCCTTAACGGAATTTAGAATTATCTATTTTTATACATTAATTTACAAAGTTTTTAAAATTAAAAATTTTCGAAATACAATCTACTGATAGGATATACAAATTGCATTTTGGAATAAAAAGGAATTAATTTTCTCTATATTATGTCTAATTTTAGGGTATAGAAATTCGAAGGAAAATTTCGGGATTAATTAAAATAAAAGACTTCAAATTTTAGAGAATATGAAAAATTAAAATTCTTTTATATTCCAGTCTTATTACCGGTGGGAATAAAAGTTGTGTAAATATGTTTTCGTTAACGTTATTTGCAATATAAGATTTTTAAAATTTTGCATCAAGGTAAATAATATAATACTTTAACCCTTTATAAGATATAAACAAATAACAATATTTTTGAATGAATTTGAATTTTTAAAAAAATATATTTCAGTATCTTCTGAGGGAAAATATAAAAGCCGGTTTATCGAAAAATGAATCTTGCAAGTAAAAGCACATATTTTAAGATATCAATTTTTCTTCCTGGTTGTCTACCACCCAGTTGATCGTAAAAAGTTAAATATTAACAGAGTTTTGATCTTTTCAAGATTGCGTTTAGAAAATGAAATTTTTTAATTTCGATGAAAAATGGATATTGAAAAAAATTAAATCTGAATTCACACATTTTTTTTAACTATACTGCATGATTAGATTAAAGTGACATATTTATTGAATTGCATTATATCAAATGGAATATGAATTAAATTTTGTATATTTGAACAAACATTGACAACAATTTTTGAGTCTAAAAATAATTATATCAACTTTCTTTCTTCTATAAATGGTTGTTTTTAATTAATTTGGAAAGAACTAAAAGACGAAAAGACAGCTGCACAAACGAGAGCTGTGTAAGTTTAGAGATTTGTATATGAGCGACGTGAATTTTCGAAAATAGATCTAGTTCACATGGCAAAAATAATCAGATTTACTTTTATTAAATGAACATAATTAACGCTCTTTTAATCGTTGTTTAATTAGATTTAAACAAAATTTTAATAGTCTCAAAAGATATTTTTAATCTTAACATCTTAACATTTTAACATTTTAACGGTTAACCCACACAGCACCAAAACTTTCCTAAAAATATATTAAAGATTTACTTGCAAACTTCGAAGTATTTACTTGCAAAGTTTACAGCAAAATTTTTTAAATATTTAAATGTCCCACTTCAATAAATGTTTAGTGTGAAACTTTTCTGAAAATTTAAATAAAATTTTCGCCTGGAAATTTTTGGGCTGGATTTTATATAAAGGCGTTCAATTAGGTTTCAACTATCTTTCTATAGTTGAATCTAATTATGTGGCTTTATTGTTTTATTACAATAAAAAATGTTACTTTATAAAAACTGAGGATTATTTTAACACTGAATTCTCTAAAAATAAAATAAATATTTAATTTTATCCAGTCCAGAGAAAGAAAATGTTATACCATGTGTTTCGCCGTGTAATTATACCAAAAAGAGGTAAAATTGGATATTTACCCTCATTAAGATTATCCCGTCAAAAAATTACCCACAACAAATAAAACAGTCAAATTTTCTGTTTGGCAGGTTTCTATATTGTTTCTATAACATAAAATTACAGCAGTGATTTATATATCGACCAACTTTTAATCCATCATTTTCTTCAACATAACTTCTAGTACAATAATAAACAATTGCACATTTTTCATCGTCATGTTTCTACATTTAAAATTTAGTAGTTTAGTACCAAATTAATTCATATAATTTATCATTTTTTATTAATAAATTTATTGAAAATAACTCACAATTTCAGATTAAAAATAACTGTAATAAAATTAGATGAGTAATATACAATGTAAAACATGGGTGTTTTTTGTTTTTGGGTTTTCTATTCTGTTGCCTGTTAACGACCCAAGGTTGGGTCGTGAACATCTTAGCGCGAAATAAATGCAATTTCTTATGTAAATTATAAAATAAATTCTTTTGTATAATTATTAACACACTATAGGTTTCAATGATACTAGATTAAGTAATAAATAAATACTTATTTATTATTTTTAAGTAATAGAACAATTTAAAAACAAGTAGAATTCATGAAAAAAATTAATTTTTTTTAAATTTAACTCACATTTGGTGTATAAGGATTTTTGGGGTCGCTGAATTCGAATTTGACCTCCTTTTTTTAAAATTAAAAATGGCTGATGTAATTTTTAAAATTTATTCTTATTTTTCTCAAATTCAATATCGAGGGATATTTTGGGTCGCGAATTCAAATTTTATATTCTTTTTTAAAAATTCAAAATGCAGGACATAATTTTTAAAATTTATTCGGATTTTTATCAATTTCAGTATCAAGTGGTATTTTGGGTTGCTGAATTTAAATTCAACATTCATTTTTAGAAATTCAAAATGGAGGATCCAAAATGGCGTAATTTTCTTACGTCATAATTAGAATCAGCTACCCCAAAAAAATATGTATACTAATTTTTATGAATATCTGCTTGAAATTGAAAAATTTTTGCCGCCATATTGGATCCGCTATTTTGAATTTTTTTGAGGTCATATTTAAATTCAGCCACCCCAAAAACCCTTGTATTCCTGTATACTAATTTTTATAAATATCTGTTTAAAATTGAAAAATTTTGTCTGCCATATTGGATCCGCCATTTTGAAATTTTTTTTACAGTCATATTTTAATTGAGCGACTGCAAACACGCTTGTATACCAAGCTTCATAAAATTCCATCTACCAGATTTTGCTGGACATTTTGGGCTAACCCATATGAATATTGTTCCAAACAGCGAAGGGGCTAATTTTGAATTATGAATCCGAAGGTTGCAATTATAAATCTTTAATAAATTTTTATGAAAGTTTCGGTAGGATAGTAAAAAATACAGGTAACTTTAAATTTTTTATAATATATATATATATATATATATCTTCCATATGTTCAATGGATTCATTTTACAACAGCCTTGACTGGGAGAGCTATGAAACTATAATAGTATCACTGACGTATTTCGAATTGTTCGCGAATTCCGTGAGAAGTGAATCTGTTTTGTGACAAGTCTCTGGACACGCAGTGTACCGTTGTTAGTTTATCCCGATTTCCTACGCTTTTCATTGGTTTTATCCATATTGCAAAATACTTTCAAATTGTGTTTATATCTAGTTCTCTCAGACCATCTTCCATATTTTATGCTTAATTTTGTGAAATGGATTTTTACCAAATTTCTTATAAAATTGATTTGATTTAAGTGAGTAAGAATTTCTAAAACGTGCCACCGAAAATAACGCAATTTTTCTGTTTTCTAAAAAGCTGATTTTTATGCTGTGTTTTAAATGAGAAATCACTGTGTTAATAGGATTTAAAAATAAAATTTTTTTGTACTTGTTAGAATATTTTTACCTCTTTTTCTAAATAAGTAAAATGAAAAAACAATGTAGCATTTTATTCTTTTAGAAAAAGAAAATCCAGTGTCCTCTTCTTGAATCAGTTACAAATTTTATTCGCATGTGAAAATATTGAATTTAAATAAACAAAAAAATTATTTAATTATAAAAAATCGTTATAAGGAGTTTCAAGTGGAAAGAAGTACTATTTATTATTTTAACCTTTCTGAATAATATTCGGTTGGGAATAGCACGAATTGGCAAGTGGTTGAAATAATTGTTTTTTGATACGCCCACGTACAATGCGATTTACACGACATATAAATTTGAACGAAATATTTTGCATTCTTATGTTCGCGACGCATGCGTATGACTTTGTTTTATTTAAATTCAATATTTTTACATACGAAAAATTTTATTTACTATTTATTTATTTATTTATTTTTATTTTAATTTTGATTTAAGTTTCAAGACGATGCCGGTTGAATAATTAAAATCAGTCAACAATTTTTTTCTGTAATTTATTTTTTTTTAAAGAAAGAAATAGGTATTGAAAATAAGAAGAAATATTTATTCTTTGCAAAATATTTTTACATTTTTAAATTTTAATAATAATCAATGTTCATATTTCTTCTTAAAAAATTTTTTTGAAGTTTTTTGCTTGTTAAAAATATAAATTGTTTTTGGCAAAAATTGTAAGAAATGTGAGTATGAATTTGAAAAAATATTATTTTTACGGAAAATGTTTTTTTTTAAATGAACATCTTTAATGTTATAAATATGAAACAAATACGAGGAAGAACGAAAGGCAATGTTGTACACGTGTAAACGATTAAGTTAACAAATTTTCATACAGAGGAAATTCAGGCACTGAAGATGGAACTGTCAGGCGCGAAATTGACCGCAAAATATTTCTATAAATCAAACTTTCATGTGGCAAAATTTTTCAAGGATTCTACACTGATACTTGCGTAAGAAAATAGGAATATCATTTTGGCGGAAAACCAGCCGCGAAAGATGCAACATTTATTTATTTCATATAGATTTCTACAATATTCGATAATAATTTTCCCCTCGTTCATTGAATGTTTCAGCTATTAATCTGATGATTTTTCTTTTTCATTTACTTTTTCTATTCATATATTTATATTCATAAATATATGAATAGAGAAAGGAAATGAAAAAGAAATTATTTTAATGAAGTACAATTCTATATGATTTTGTTTTAATTTTTTTCCAGGCTTCAGAGGAATACCGAGAGCATAGCAGCCACAAAACTCGACAGGCGAAAAAAACTAAACAAAGCCAACAACAACACGTCGTCGAACAACATAGTTCGAGTGTTCAGGAGAGTGTCAGTGTTACAAAACGTAGTACTACAAAAGATTCTTCTCAGAAAAAGTTCAACGTCGTTCGGCTTAATAACATCCCCCTACCTTCTACTAGTGGCAAAGTAACATGTAAGTACTTTTTTATTGATATATTTTGTATATTTAAGTAATTAAATTTTAAAAAACTGAAGTGCCCAGTACCTAGGTACAGTAAACTTGCTGCAATTTTTCAAAAGTCCCCTAAGTATCAATCCGAAATGAGACAGAAGAATTCTGAAAAATATATCGTCTGCTTCATGGAAAACTATTCCATTTCAAGAATTCGTTATAAATAATAGGATGATGACCATCTATATAAAAATCTTGCACTAAAGAATTCCTAATGATTAATAAACAATTGTTTTAAAATTATTAGAAATTATGAGTAAATGAATTGATAAGATAGGCAAGAGTATTTTTTTATTAAAATAAGTATGAAATTGTCAGGAATCGAATTTAAAGTCTATACAAAATTCAATTCAGAGATAAATAATTCAATTCAATTAAGAGCTTTGCGTAGCTCTTAATTATACTTAATAATTCACAACCAAAACAAGGATTAAACAAAACTAATTAGACCCTAAGCATTTACTTATATTATATATGTTGAACAATAAAACAAAAAGAGGTCTAGCTGTAGGGCATTTTGCCAGAGCGAGGAATTAAATTCACACTGACTTGCACCTTATTGAACTTGCTCATTACACGAATATATTTTAATCATATTTACTCAGGAGTGTCATACAATATTTTTTTGTAACACTTACCACCTCCTAGCGCCTATATTTGCAACAATTTTGGCAACATTAGCATACTCCAACCGCATGTGCTATATAAAATAAACACGCTCGACTGAAATTCAATTTTCTTTCATTTCCTGAATGAACAAACTTTTAACAATATTTTATAAATATTCTAAATAAAGACATAATTTAAAAGTGATTGTAATTTGGATTTTATTCTACTTTTTAATAACAAATTTCTATTCTAGCTGAATATTTTTACACCGAAAGAAAATTATTTTATAATTCATCATTTTCATTTCAAAATTAAAATTTAGTTTTTCGCTTTTTCTCCTTAAAGTAAACATATTTTTATAAAATATTTATTTCCTTCCGTGCTATTTATTATATAATAGCTTCTATTCTTTTTTAAAAGATAAATTTTTAATTGTAATTAATTAATTGATTTATTAATTAAAAATAATTAATACTATGAAAGTCTTGAATTATGTTTAATTAAAAATGGGTACTGCAATATAACGAACAAGTTTTTAGAACTTGACTGAATGAAAGTATTAGCTTTAGATAATACATTATTTTGTATCAAAATTTACGCCATTTCACAGAGATTTAAAAATATTCTGTCCGCCATGTTGGATCCGCCATTTCGAATTTTGAAAAACTAATACTAGATTTATTTACAAAAACCGTTATTTGACATTTAAATGTACTCCTTTTTATACCTTGATTTTAAGCCTGTGGTCGGCAATTTAAACTCAAACCAATTTTTGCAGGCTTTGGGGTCCCGTTTACAAAGAATGACTCATGAAAATAAATTTTTTTATATTCTTTATTACTGTTAAATTGTAATTTTAGAAATACAACAAATATTTTAATCTTTAATTGAGGCCTTGGATCCAATAACTCGCCCGACGCTCGAAGGCACGCGCTAATACCAGTCGGGTAGCAGTGAGTGGCCCAGAGGCGCTCACTGCTCACTGACTGGAAGTTGCGCGTTCTTCCGAGCGTCGGGCGAGTTATTGGATCCAAGGCCTCAATTTTATAAATAAGAGACCATAAAGATTATAACCTGATATAAATTAAAGTAACATTGTACTAAAATGGAATTTTCAATAATTTAAAAATATTAAAAATTCAATATCTAACCTCCTCTTGACCTTCTGAGCCCTTAAAATTCAAGTCAAATTTTAAGACAATTTTGACCCACTGGTCAAGTGTTGACCCTATTAACACGAATCTAGTGTTAATTTTTTAAAATTCAAAATGGCGGATCCAATATGGCGGACAGAATATTTTTAAATTTCTGTGAAATGGCGTAAATTGAGGTGGATACACCTCAATTTTGATTATATTTAAGGTTGTTTTGACCCATGGACCTAAGAAATAAATGGACACAGCACAAAGTCCTACTTTAGACGAGGGGGGTGTTACACATCATCGGTAAAGGGTAATGATTAGGTGGAGGCTCGTGGATTGGTTGATTTGGGCGCTTGCGCCGCGCATAATTTAAAGAGGGAAATCTAACTATAAAACATAACCTGCAAAAAAATTACATTCCAAGAAATGCATTTTCTAATAAAAATATGCAACAAATTTGTTAGATTCATCATTTGGTGAATATTTAAAAATAATATATACTACTCTTAATAAAATATGTATAAAGAATAGATTTTCTTATCGTCTTATAGTTTATTCTTTACTTTAACAATTAGATACCTATTATATAATATTTATTACTTTATAATTTGTAATTTACTATTGATTAAATCACTGTACCTATTATTTGTCCCTGTATCATTATTTAATATAAAAAATATATACTTTAAATAAATAAATTTTACATAACATTGACAGGCTGCAAGAAGTGCTTATAGCCAGTGGCCAGTAGAGGGCAGAAGCATGCAGAGCGAGCACAATGGCACAGCTATTATGATATCGTTTGCTTTATACATTACCTTCCAATTTTTCATTTTATAACCGCATTACTGCATGAATCTGAACAATATTTTCGATTATTGTAATTTAGAAGATGCTTACCTATTGTAGTTGACATATTTTGTAAAAAGTGTCTGTGATTATTTAAAAATTAGTTGGAAAATGTTTGTTTACCTATTTCACGTCATTTAAACCAGTCACTGCCTTATTCTGTTGGGCGATAATCGAAGATCTCACATAACCTCGAAATATCAGAGATCTTCGAACACCGTTAATCATATTTAATTCATTATTATATAATTAATAGAAACATTAACTATTAATTTCTGTTGATAAGTTTAGAGTCACCAACGATGACAACAAACAAATATGTACGTTATCGTCTGCTATACATGTGACAAAAGATTGACCAATTACCGAGTCTCCACCAATCCATGCGCAATGAACTGTTTCCCCCTTACCTACGACAGTCTAGACCCCGCAGCTTAGTGCTACGTCCATTTACTTCTTACGTCCATGTTTTGACCTGCAGAACAAAAGTTGACATTAACCCCACTCCTCTCCCCCCTCAATTTAGGTCGAGTTTGTGGGGTTGTTGTCAACCCCACCAATCTCTCTCTTTCTGCACTAAATATAAGATATTTAATTAATTAATTTAGCTAAAAACCAATAATAAAAATAGTCGCAAATAATTTAATACAAATATACTAATTACTAAAATTATTTTAGGAACCCTTCATACTTCAAAATTTTAAAAGAATATCACAATAAAAAAACATGAAAAAATGAAAAAACTTTTAGTAATTATTTTAGTATTTGGGGCAAAATTCCTCAAGTGTCCCAACTTAAAAAATTTAACGATTCCATTAACGATCCCTTGCAGACATTTGTTTGTGTTCTTACGTAGGATGCTACAAGGGATCCTATTTAAAAAGGATGCTAGGAGGAAATTGTTTAATGCTTTAAATGACATATAATTTAAAAATGAATCTTAATTTTAAGATTTCCCGAAATGACTTAAAAACAATTAAGTCGTTTTTCGAGCGAACAGTTCATATAAGCAACATACAAATAGGATCCCCTATTAGATCTTAATTCGATGCCTCCCATCGAATTAATTAATAATTCATAAAATGCTATAACATAAATGTCAGAGCAAGATAATTCTAATTGAAAAACAAGTGCAATATAAAGTTAACAAAAAAAAATTGTGCAAGACAATTCTAATTCAAATTTGCGTGCAATATAATAACACGTGAAATTGCGGACAATATAATTCTATCAAAAATGTTAATGCAAGACAATTCAAACTCCTGACTCAACGTAAAACAATGCCCACTCAACCCCAAAATAATAGAAACCTTCAAAAATACTTCTGTGGAAGAAAGGCATAACGGCATAACTGCATTTGTCATGATTTCGAGATAAATTAATTTTAATGTTCTCTCACTTCTGTCAATTCAGAAAATCAACAGATTTGTTCGGTCTTTTGCATTTAGTATTATTATTTAATATATTTTCAAAATTCTTTTATATCATTTAATAAAACACACGATTTGATATAAATTTTGATAATTTTTCATCGGAATCATGAGTTTTATTGCACTTATGCGGTTATGCAAGTTCAGATTGTATATGAGTCCAACTTCAGACACTTTTAATGTCACAATTTATTTTGGTTTGATTTGTCATAATAAAAAAATTTTTCATACAAAGACAAATTAAACTATTAATTCGTTAGAAAAAATTATAAGAGTTTATTTAGTTATAAAATTTATTTTTTTATAAAATGTTTTTAATTTATTGAAACGAGAAAAAAATTTACTTTACTGTTCAACTTGAAGAATTTTTCAATTTATTTTTTGAAATACTTTCCAAAATTTTTTAGAATAGAAATACCCTTAAAAATAAGTACATAATTAAATGCACAATTTATGCTATAAAAAATTTGTTCCAGTTTTATTAAAATAAATATATTTAATCTAAAGTACGAAAAATGTATTTTACTAAAAACATTTTATTACAAAATTCTTATTGTTTTTATTCATAAAGGTTATTTTCATTTTTAATTATGTCAATTGTTTTTTAAGCTGAATGCAGTTATGTTATTATGCTGGTCTCCTTTTGTCAAAAATGCAATTATGCGATTATGTTTTCCATTATTTTCTACATTAATAACCATTTTAATGATTTTTCAGCTATTGAACTTTGAAGAGCAATATTAAATATATACAAAGCTGATGTTATCTCAAATTTGATAAAAATGTCAGTTATGCTGTTATGCCTTTCTTCCACAGACTTTAAGCTCATAGTTTTGCCATTAGCGGTTATGTAAAATATAATGAAACAATTTTTGTTTAACATTAGAAACATAAAAGCATTTACATAAGATTTTTATAATAATAAATTTTA